GTGAATTTGCTTTTGTTTGGAAAGGAAGGGTTTCTTGCCACGCGTGAAGCCTTCCTCGCTTTCACAGATCAGTAAGCAAGCCAGAGTGTCCAAGTAGCTCACAGACACCGTGGGCTGCCAGGTGAGTTTGCCCTTTGCGCAGCCGCTTCATCCTTGCAGGCGGCAGCTGGGGGCAAAATCGGGAAACTGGGGTTGTCTCAATCGTTGGCGCCTGTTGCATCACCCTGCTTGCCCTCCATGAGGACTGAAGAGCCTGCCAAGCGCAGCTCAAAAGAACATCAAGCATTGTCAGACAAAGTTCATTTTGCAGAACGGCGCCAGCTCAGACTATTTGACACACGTTTTGTCTCCATCCACGCAGGCGATGTTGCCTTCAAGCCCTACACCTTTGCAGCTGAATGAGGCGCGCTGCTCTGCAGGGCACAGTACCGATACTGATTTGAACGCACAGCCAGTGTGCGATTGAGAACCCTAAAGCAGTCAGGCGCCCCCCGATGCCAAACATCAAACCTAATGGTGGGAATCCTGAAAGCCCTGAGCCCATGCTTAGACTGTCGTTGTTTTACTTCTGTCCAAAGAGGCCTAACGGAGGGAGGGCCACACTGCAAACCCCAGATTGACGGCGGAGGCTTCCTGACTCTACCGCAAAGACCGCACACGTGATTCACGTGTGGGGAAGCAAAATTCTTGAAACAGCCCCAGGAAGCACTTGACACTACTTCAAGACGGCTGGTTCGGCTTCAAGGAAGAACCTTGCTAAGCGCGTGTCACAAACACAAACAGGCGTGGTTGAGTTGAAGAAGTGATTTTAAGAGGTCAACCATTCAAAGGTAACAGTTTGCTCCTACCCTCCACCAAGTTACGAATCTCAGGCAGCTCCAGAAATGCCCCCACCAAAGACTGCGCGCTTTTGTAAAGGTCGGTGTAGGAAGCGTCGTCAGGAAAGGATGCGAAGGTCCGAACACATAGCCTCCACCAGGCGTCCTGGAGGGCTTCAACGCAGGGCAGCAAGGGGCGGCAATTTGTTTTGCCTCAACACAAAGTCAAAGCCGGGCAAGTTTGTACAAAGAAGGTTTCTTCGCGCGCCCCAGCTCCTGGTGCCGGGATTGGCCGAAGAGAAGGTGAGCGACAGCTTCCTCAAACACGTCCTTGGTGGCCTGCCACACTGTAGCCCCTGCCTGGTTCTTGGGCTTGTACCTGGCAGCAAACGTGGCTGGGCTGGCCTTCTTGACTGGCTGCTTGGGCTGCGTCTTCGTCTTTGCCAGCTCCACGCCCCCCTCGTCTATCTTCGCCTTCTTGGCCCTCTTCGCAGGCTTGCTCGCAACGTCCGTGTCAGCCGCCCGCTTCTTCTCATCCGTGTCGCCCGGCAAGTTCACCACGGGGGTGTCCGCAGTCTCCTCCTCCTGCTCGTGCTCGGATTGGGCATCGTCGTAGATCTCTTCGACCTCCTCCACGCCCTTCGCTTTGCTGCTCTTGGCCTTCCTCTTCGCGTTGGCCTTATTCTTGGTGGCCTTGGCTTTGCTGGTCGGTTTGGCCTTTCTCGTAGCCTTGCCTCTGGCCGGCTTCTTGGCCTTGCCATCACCGCTCTCCTCATCCTCCACCGCCATGTTGCCGGCAGCTGCAAGCTGCTCACGCCGAGAAACTAGTGGCACCTGCAAAGGTGCTAGGGCAAGTTCCTTGAACACTGCTCTGACTTGCTTTGGTTGCCCTTCCCGCGCCCTGCCTTCACGTCCAAGAGGCTCGTGACACCGTCGCTGCCGCCCGGGCCCTGAGTTTCCTGGTTCCCCTCGCAACGGTCTCCTTGTCCAGCCAAAAGGGTGGCAGCGTAGTTGCCCTCGTCGTCCAGCTTGTTCTTGCTGGTGCTCTCCAGGAAGTCGCCAGAGCTCTTGGTCATGTCTGCTGCGTCAACGGTCTTGTCCTGATCGTCCGCATCCTTCTCACCCACGGAGACCACGTCCGCATCATTGATGCTCAAGTCTTCGCCATTCACGCTGCCGTCACGGCCATCACCGTCCACGCCAAGCCCGCCGCTTTTTTCGCTCAAATCAGCTTCGCAACCCTCCAAATCTTGACTGTTCTGCGCGTAGAAGGGTGCCCGCCAAGTTTCACCCAAACTCCAGGTAGTTGCCAACGAAGGCGAAGGAGACTTCGCTGAGCCAGCTAGGTTCTTGTCAAGGTTGGCCACGCTGTTGGAAGCTTGAATCAGCGTGGTTGCTGCAAGGCTCATGTCAACCGGCAAGGTCTCCATGTTGTCAAGGGAGCCGCCTTCACTAGGAAAAATTCGGGTGTGGCTGGCCGGATTCAGATTGGGGCTGAGATGAGCTAAGATGCAAGCTTGACCTTGACAAAATCACAAAGTGTAGTACTTAAAAGCTGCGAGGGTCCAACGCTAGTAGCATGCTCTGGTAGGCTCTCTTGGCTGGTAGCCCTGCGCAGGCGAGCATCGATGATCCGCTGCCTGCGATAAGGTTAAACTGGAAAGGGCCCGCACGTGAGCTACTGTTGCGACAAAGCAATTTTCGATCCCAGGGCCTTACGACACCAAGACGTTCACGGAGTTCCTTTTTGCGGGCGGTGTCTCCCCCAGCCCCGGGCACAGGCGCTGGCGCGGACTGCTTGGCAGGCGGGCAAGGGACTGAAACCTCTTGATCAGCCATGACCGCGTTGCTCTGCGGACTAAGTTGGGGCTTTTGGAATCTGTCTACACTGCTTGATGCTGCGCTGCAGCCGTCAAAGTTACAGCCATCCGCCTTTGGCACCTTTGAAGCGGTAGAAGCTGGAACAAGTGTGGCTGCCTCATCACAGCTGTCCAATCAACGATCCCGTCTTCAATAGCAAGCACTGCAGGTTGCGGCGACTGGGCAAGCTCTTCATCTTGAGGTGCTCCCCAAAACTCATCAAAGGCCGCCCATATTTCTTGAAGTGATGGGTCCTAGCTTGAAAATAGGGTTTCTTGTTTCTTCATCCCGCAACAAGCTTTCAATTTGGGAGCCTAAAAGGGAACAAAGCTCCCAGCAAAACCTAGGCTCTGCAACCAAGTGACTCTTGGTCCCTTGGCCCCAGCCACCCATCGCCGCATTGCCAGTGAAAAAAGCTTCTTTAACCCCCACGAGTCCAGCGTGACCAACCCAGCCTGCGGCTGCAGGCCGAGGAGTTCACGCCACCTGGTCACCTGCAAGGCCGGGCGCTGAAACGGTTCCTTCCTATTCTGGTCGGCGATAACTCCCTTGGAAAAAACAAACCACCCCAAGATGTGTTGTTCGAACCCAATGCCTGAGCGCGCATTTCGTGAATTGGCACTGCTGTTGGCTGTTGCTGCTGAACGCACCACCATTCACATACGCACTCCACTGCTTCTCTGTTCAGGACTAGGGATTTCTGACTTGCAATCCCAACACTGCTTGGAGTCGGCCAAAGGGTCAGCCGCTGCGAGCTCCTGGCCCGCCGGCGAAGGCCAGGGTTGTTTTCCCAAAGCGCTGCCAGCTCGAAGGCCATTGTGAAAAACCGGACTTGCCAAATGCCTTGACATTGAACCAACGGCAGCATTAATGGTCAGCTGCAAGGGCATGCCCCCTCTCCCTGAGGAAAGATGCGGTTGCAAAGCGAGCCTGCGAGTCAATCAAAGTTGACGAACTCTCCATGCGTGTACCTGCTGAGGCGTCGCTGAGAGATGACAGAATGCATGCGGAACAAAAGGGCGCACTCGGTGTTCTCCAGGCATCTTGAGGAGATTCGCCAGCTTGAGATTGGCCGGAGCGGGAAAAAACAAACCAAACGTTATAATAATGCAAAAGCGCCTTCTCAAGGGAAAAGCGCTCTCAACCACGAGAAAGCACTTTTTCCTGAAAAAGCAATAATTTGTCACATGCCGGAGTTCCCAGGTATAACCTGTCAGTAGAACCAGACTCGTCAGCTCGGGTTTTCGGGCGTTGCTCAGTTGGTTGATTTCCCTTTGGTCCTAGTCGCGCACCCCAAATCCCTATATTAACCCATGGAGTTTTGGGCCCTGGATGGCACCTGCCGTGCCATATGGTTTATAACTTTGTAACCACTGATTTTAAGGGTAAGCCCAGAACCTTATAGATGATCTTTTGCCCGGAACCATATGTGTTGTTTTTGTAAGGTGCCCATGTTGGAGCGGTTTTTCGGGGGAAGTAGGCAGATCCAGGGTCACGCCATGGGCCAAACTTGGACCCCAGTCGGGGCCATCGATATGCCACTAGCCCAATCTGTTCGGCCTCCCTGCGGAAATATGTCTCAATGTCGATATCTCACTCCCTGAGTGAATGGAGGTTTTGCTTTTTGGGAGCATCTTTTTAGTGGTAGACAAGTAGACTCTGTTGGGCCAATCCACTCAGGAAGTGAGATATGGGGGGAGACATTTTGGGTGTGACTGTTTGGATGGAATTTTCGCAACGGGCATTTGCCCTTGAAGAAGGAATATGCTCCAACCATTCATGAAACTGCACAGGCCCCTTCAAGACGAGTTTCCAACATGGGACCGGTGCATTTTTTTCATGTTGGGTGTTGGGAGGCCATATTCTTCATGCTCTTTGAGTTGGATGCTGTCAAGTTGGAGTCTAAATCACGATTTGGGTGCCCCCCCCCCTCCCGCCCGTTACTTGGATGTTGAGTATACTCTGGAAGTAGGTTACACCAGCCGAACGGATGCCATGGCAAGGTGTAACGGCTGTTTGGGAAAAAGACCTTTTGGTAGTGTCCACCCAGCCGACCATCCGTGACTTCAAGTGCATGTTTGTCCCCAGGGAAGTAAGATGAGAGGTGACCATTTCACGTTTGCCAGCCTCTGCTGCTTTCCGCAGAATACTGTCATTAACATGGGTAGCGGCCAAGATTCTAGCCATGGCAAGGGAGATTTCTGTGCGACAGCTGTCTGGGAATTCCGACCCGTTTCAATTGTCGACTGACATGACTGTCCTCGACTTCAAAAGGCAGCTGCATGCCTGGCTGCCCTGCCAAGATGAATCAAAGCGAAATATATGCATGGTAGAGTGGTTGTTGGAGCCAGGAGCTTGTTCAACAACGAGGAGATGTTGTCGGAAGCCATTCCAGGTGCAGAAGTTCTGGCATTCCTCAGCATCAAGCCCGTTGTGTGCTCCAGCTTCTCAACATCCGGCTGCCAGCTGCAAGATTTGAAAATGGTGGAAATTCAAGGAGACGCGATTGCGATTGAGGATTATGCCTTCCAAGGCTGCAGCTCATTGGCAAGAGTGACCATTCCCAACTCCGTGACTAGGCTTGGAGATTGTGCCTTTGAAGGTTGCAGCTCATTGGCAAGCGTGACCATTCCCAACTCCGTGACTGAGATTGGATTGTGTGCCTTCAGCAGCTGCAGCTCATTGTCAAGCGTGGCCATTCCCGACTCCGTGACTGGGCTTGGAGATTGTGCCTTTGAAGGCTGCAGCTCATTGGCAAGCGTTACCATTCCCAACTCCTTGACTAATATGGGAGATTGTGCCTTCAGAGGCTGCAGTTCATTGGCAAGCGTGACCATTCCCGACTCTGTGACTGAGCTTGGAGATTATGCATTTGAAGGCTGCAGGTCATTGGCAAGCGTGACCATTCCCAACTCCGTGACTGGGATTGGAGCTGCTGCCTTTTCAGGCTGCAGCTCATTGGCAGGGGTGACCATGCCCGACTCCGTGACTTATATTGGAGAACGAGTCTTTGAAGGCTGCATATTCCTCTTGGAGTCAGAAGGGACATGAAGACTTGAAGACTTGTGTAGCTTCGAGTCTGGCGAGTTGGATTTGGCTGAATCGTGGTTCCTGACAATCTTGCCGTGGCTCAGAATGTGGGTCGTCCCCAATAGAAAAAGCAACATATGTGCTGTGCCTGGGTTCATGACTTTGAGCCACGCCCATGTTGCGCTGCTGAACTTGGCATGCGCAGAAAGGGCGGCGACAGACCTTGTGTTCCCCGGAGCCCTGAACAGAAACGTTGCATGATGCTCCGTGAACGCAAACGGTCGTGACTCGTACTTTGAAATTGGAACTCAACCTCCCACCAATGAACACAGAACCTGACAGGAGGCTCCTGGAAGACCGTGTTCCTTTGACAGATGTTAATTGGTGGGAGGATACGGAAGAACATCAAAAGGGGTTGCCCAAAAGGAGTATGCTCTACACTGACTCTCAGTGTTTTGGATTCCATGTACCAAGATGCAGAAACAGAAGCTCAACACGCAGCGAGCTGTCCCGAAAGGAAACGGCAATTAGATTTGTGGTTGGACCTTTTCAAAGGTTTAAAGGTGCTACTAACCCTCACAGACACATTATTCAATTTGCATAAGTTGAGCTGGTAGTCCCCGTGTTAGTTTTGAAGGGACAATTTATATCACTGGCAAATGCTACTGGTTTGTTCCAAAACCGGTTGATATGCACGGGGCTCCTTGTATTTCCCTGCTTGGACAGTTTCAGAAGTATGTGACCCTTGATACATAGCCGAAGCGCATCGAGCCTTTGATGTGTTGGTTTCCCCTGTGTCGACTTATGTCAGGAAGGGGTTGGGTGAGGTGCAAATTTGGCCTTGTTTGGTAACCTCCCTAGCAAAACAGCTTTTTCTCAGGCCCTTTTGGTTGCAAGGGAGATCGGCAATGCAGGGCACATGTCGTGCAAGGTGGATGCTTAATAGCGAGGAAAGGGCAGTCACGGCTTTGTATAGTGCTACATATTCGGACCCCCAATATGTCCCTTTAAACCTACCCCAAAAGCAGCCTTCGCCTCAAAAAAGAAAGGCAGAGTCTCTGTTGGTTTCCAAGGGAAGTCTTGGGGGTGGCGACTCTTTTCGGACCAGATCCGCGAGCTACTTCGGCCGTTGGATTTAGGAGAGTGCCACTCTGTTGGCTTCCGGAGAAACCTAACCCTAAACCTCAAGAGGATCAAGTAACCAGGTCCGGCTCCAAAAGGACTAGAATACTAAAGTCCTTAGATCCTTCTCGACTCATCTACTGAAGTATAGCTACCGCAGAATCAGCTGGAAGGCTTGTTTGTTTGATAGTTGTTTGGGTAAGTAGCCGATTCCGGCGATACTCCTGCCCTTACCAGTTGGCGATACTCCTCCCAGAAGGGGTGTTTGCCTGTTCCAAATAATTTGTTTAGTCAACTTCCCTACATGTATATATATATATATATACACATTTTGTGTGAACAAATCCAGGGATGGCGCAGCCCAGGTCTATGATACGAGGTGCTGGCAAGCGGGGCTTAGCGGCAGGCTGGTTACTTGCTTGCGCCGGGAGCAAAGTTTCACATTAAGGAATTATCCTAGGCTTATCCCGGTATAGCCCCCCGCCGAACAGCCCCCCGGTAAGGTTCCATGACTTGTTGACCCTTGGCTTGTCCAATTTGGCGGATCAAAAAGGCTGCGGCTTGCTAGTAGTACTTTTCAACTGGGGCAAAGGAGACCGAGTTGTCAAAGCCAAGAACCGATCTGGGCGGATGGGTTCAACGGGCCGCCAAAAAGGAGACCCACCGGCTTCTGTGGGCTAGTTTTGAGCGGGCCGGTTTCCCATTTGGTGGTTCATGCTGTTTACGGTGCATTCAGTATTGAGCATGTTGAGCGAACTTCTGAACGAGCTGGTTCTTCAGCGCTGAGGCTGCAGTGCCTCGGCCCCGACATTCGTGTTGTGCGAGTGTTGCCCGGAATTGGGCCCCCCTCGAGCCGGCAGTCGTTTAAGGCTGGTCTTCGCGTTGCGTTGCGTCATCTTTTTTTCTTGTTTTCGCTGCCTGGCCCCGAACCATTCTCTAGGGATTGCCTCAGCCACGCGCGCGAACTGACCCACAATCCAATTTGCTGGCGTCCTAGGGGCGGGTTGGAAGTTGGAAAACCAGGAAAGCCGAGAAGTGTCGGATACGACTTAGAATTACTGGTCAGCCCTTGCATGTCCACTACGACAGACAGACAAACCGACCGACAGACCGACTGATGAACCGACAGGCAGGCAGGCAGACAGGCAGACAGAGCGACAGACAGAGACGGACGGCCGGACAGAGACGGACAGGGACAGACAGTGACAGAGACGGACACAGGCAGACAGGCAGTCAGACGGACAGGCAGACAGACAGACATACGGACAGAGACAGACGGAGACAGAGACAGAGACAGAGACAGAGACAGAGACAGATAGAGAGAGAGAGGACAGGACAGGAAAGGACAGGACAGGACAGACAGGCAGACAGACACAGCAACAAAACAACGCAACACAACGACTCAAACAAATCAACCTAAACACATTTGACGGTGGGTCAACAATATGTACCCAAAATGGAACCCGGGTAAGTGGAACATGGACCAAAACCTGCGGTCCATATCCTGGTGGTTTCATTTTGACCCATATATAAGCACCCACCGCGTGCGTTTGCCTGTGTTGATAGGCCTTGAGGAGCTGGAGGAGTTGCCGGGAGCCTTGCTGGCGCCAGCGCCTGGGATAAATGTGTCGTTTTGGAGGGATCTGCAACCAGCAGCCTCCGAGGGTGGTGGCCTTGTGAGCCATTTTGGGTACCGATTGACGGTGCTGGAACCTTCCTTCTTAACAACTTGTTTGTGGAGGGGGTGGGGCCCCTTTAAAACCAACTGCCCCAAAACATACATGCCTTTTTTGCCCCATAGTGCCGACTGGCTTTTGAAGTCTCGGAAGAGTCATTTGCAGCGTTGAGCCCTGCAATTCACCGCAATTTACTGGATTTTCTGGCTGGATGCAGTTCACTTGCAATATTCAAAGGAAGTCACCGCAAAGTACATTGAGAGCTGCTTGAAGGGAAACCGTCTTTTGTAAGGGTGCTATGGTTGTTATGGCGACAGCCGCGCTGAGGGGCCGGGGCTAGGTTTGACCCTAGGTTTCTGTTTGGCGTTCCTTGAAAACAGCCCCAAAAGGCTCCAAAAAGAGTATATACCTCAGTTACCCAAGCGAGCCAAGTGGTTTCTTCATTTTGGCCCATGTTTCGCCACCAAAGCTCAATGTTTGATTTGCGGTCCTTTGTGTATTTTTGTTACCCCCGGAATCGTGACGCAACGATTTGCTGTGAGCTGAGGTTGACTCAGAGGTGGAGTACCGCAGCCTGTCAAAAGCAGAGGGTGGGCAATGGGCTTCCTCGGCACGCCGAGTGCGCCAAGATGAAATGGCCTGCACGGAACCCATAACCCAGGAATGGGCGGGTTCTGCTCTGTTTACCCGCTTTCGGCTTTCCTTTAAAAACAACCAATTAAGAGGGGATTCCCCTCAAAAAAGAAGACCCAATAAACCTGGTACGATGAATGGGTCCCACTTTATTATGGGAATCCTGCATAGCGCTCCTTACTTCTGACCTGCATACCGCATTGCTACAGTGCCCAAAGCGAATGAGGCTTTGACCGTTTGGAAATACCAAGTTGGTCAAAAATGTGTCAAGGTTCCAGACCATTCGCCTTTTTATCTCCAGGTCCTCTGGGCAAGTGAGACATTCTTGTCATGCCGCATGGCTGAGAATCACATCTTTGAACCACCTTGTGCAGTCAGCTGACCTCTGAGAACCCCGAGTAGCCGAATTACCGTTCGACATTCATGTTTAGTCACGGCAGACGGTTTTTCATGTGGCTGTGGCTCAAAAAACCGGTACCAAAATGGAACCCTGGTAAGTGGAGACATGGACCAAAACCTGCGTAACCCCTCCTGTTTAATTTTGAGCCACAGCAATGTTTACCTTGGAGCGCCCCATGGCATGTGGCCCAAGGTAGGCCTTGTCAGAAGATCGCAACCCCCAAGGCCCATCAGCTTTCTCAAGGCTCTTGTTTGGGGATAAGCCTGACACCTACCCAGCTGCTCAGTGAGTTCCGCCCTTTAAATCCCTCTTTGCTTGGTAGTCTTTCCCACGAAAAAAGTGCGGCCTCCAAAAAGCGCTCCCCTTTTTCTGCCAGGGTTACTCGGCAATTGCTGGCCTAGGTTGGGGGTGGGGGGGTGGTGATATGAAGAGTGAGGCATGCTGAACAGCCTCAAGCAATACGAGATCGCTTTCTTCGGCAGCAACGCATCTCGTCTTGGAGCATTTTCTGTTGGGTTTGTCAAGTGTGGCCGCCTTTGCAATCTTCAACCTTTCTACTAGCAAGAGCTCAGTTGTTCAATCCCAACCTTTTGACCTTTTGATTTTCCCGTTTTTGTCTATGTTTAGTAGAGGTCCCAAAAGGTTAACCTTTTATTTCCGGGTCCTTCGGGCAAGTGAGAGAGTTTAACTGTTTGCAGAGGTTGAAGGCCAATCAGTCCTTTGCTTCTGGAACTCGTCGAGGTCTGAAATTGGGAGGTGCCCATTCCTTCTTACCATAGGGCTGACAAACTCACCGTGAATGGAACGAGTGACGAGTGCTCGACTGGATTACTATGCGTGGATGACGTCGGGAATCGGGAGGTCTGGATCAGAGGGCACCTCCAGACATGGGTCTCTCCAAACAGAGCCACCACTTGCTGAGTTTTGCAGGACCGAGGGGAGGGGTTTGAATCCTATGATTTGAGGCAGCCTGGTGCTGCAGCCAAGGCAATGACGATCACGGCATTGCCTGAGCAACTCTTTCCCCTGGCTTTGAACTGGAAAGACGCATCCGGGGCACCCCAGACACTTGGCTTACATCTCCTGTGTCACGTCCGTGCGGCTGTTTAGGGTGGCTTGGGATGCGCCACCCGAAACTCAAGCAGGGAAGGGGGATGGTCTTCAGGGGGCCGGGGACAGACGAAGTCGTCTATGTTGACGAATGGATTCCGGTGGGTTCAGTTTGGTTTTAGTCACACACGCCAGTGCCATCCATTTTATTTAAAGGACACTTTTGGGGTCGCTATCCCCACCCGCTGAAGTCAACTGGCTTCGGTTAGGCTCTCGTCAAGTGCAATTCTAGACTTTCGTCACTTTAGTCTGGCCTGTGATACTGTGGACGGACGAAATCCATTTCGCACCACGGTGAAACCATGGTTGAAACCATTGTTTGTTGGTATTTTCAGGGGAATCATATCTTTCCGTTGGGTTTCGGATTTCCGTGGCGCGATGTCTGGATTTCGCAACCATCCACTTTGTTGGTTTCTTAGGTGGTGCGAAATGGATTTCGTCCATCCACGGTATGTTTGCTTTAAAAGGACGTTGCCGGCGACCGGTGGGGGCGGTGACCCCATGAGGCGCTTGGTGATCGCCACCTCCAAGGAGACGGACCGAAGGGCATGGAAGGCGCGGGTCGCGACCGAAGCCCGGGGCCGGTTTCTGGTTTCCCTCTCCCAGGCAAGCAACTGACTGGTAACCAGGTATTCTGACCTCTAGCTTTCTGTTTGCACGTTTTTCTCGCAGGTTTGTAAAAATAATTGCTTTTGGCCTGGAAGCGCGCGCCGGGCTCGCCTAGTTTGAGCCGGACTCAAAGATCCGGCCACCTGGCATGCATGCAACTGGATAACATCGGGATTGGCTTCAAGGCGCCAGTTTTGGGATTAGTGTCCAGTCCTTAGGTAGCAAACAAACTGCAAAACCTTGTAACTATCGGATGTTTTCCTTGATTTCTACCTGCAATATTTAGGGAATCAACCTTCGGTCAGACCATATCCCAAGGATTGTGTGCAAATTGACCACATCGAGCTTGGTCAAAGTCCAATTCCAATGCCTTAGCTTATTTGTTATATTTGTTCCCTTTTTGGTCTTCCCTCATTCATTGTTTCAACCAGGGGTTTGTGGCCACTGCTGACAAGCCTTGTGATCTATGACCGGCTTTTGTCATCCCTGCACTTGGTGGTACACTTTTGCAGACACTTTTGTGGGACATCTGCCCTCCACGGGCGGACCTCACAAACTTCTTGATGAAGTCCAGGCATTCCGTTGAATCAAATGATTGACTTCCCGTGCCGCAACGCATAGCAAATCCAAAGAGATGACGCCGAATATACCGTGCTTGAATTCTGGAGCCGTTGAGATTCATCCGCCTCCCTCTCGCCTGGAAGGTGTTCCTTTCTCCCTCACTTGCAACACGGCAGCAGTTTTCAACCAGCGGAGCCTTGCCGAGGTGTGCATCCGAAATCTGTGTCTTCAAGATGGCATGCACCGCGCGGGCCCTGGATTCCTGGGCGGAGCGCCCCCGAAACGCATTGTGCTTTGCAAGACTCACGCAATTTGGCCGAGAAACCTACGCATGTGCAATGTATACAGCTGCTTGGAGTGCACGAGCTGGGGATTAAACGTCTAGGATTTGCGAGGCATGCCACTTTCTGCAAAGTCGTGGGCGCTATTGGCCTGCGGCGTTTACACCCCTGCCCCCCCGAAACCGAAGGGGCCACCAACGTGGCGATTCCTCTGAGGACGGTTTGGGTTCTAGGTGAATCTGCTGGGGGAGGAGGTAGCAGGTGGGAAATCAAGGAGTTTTCCACGAAACCCCAAAAAAGTTGTCAACTTTTTGCAGGGCGTCGTTACAGCAACCAAGGTGTGATTCCCATTATCTTTGGCATCCTATGATGGGAGTCTGGCCTTTCCCCGCGCATCAATCCGAGGCAAAGCTATTGGCTGGAGCAACGGACGCTGGGAAAGCAACCAGCCGGGGGCAAATGTGCCTGCCAGCAAGCTTGCTTGCTTGCTTGCTTGCTCGCTTGCTCGCTTTCTTGCTGAAGACTTTCTATACGTCTCTCGCCTTAGTGGTTGCAGCCATCAGCTTGTGGCTTGTGGGCAAATGTTAAGTGCTATTCCACAAGCGGTGAGATATTGAGGGGGGGGAATGTCGAGAACTCTGTTGCTTGCGTGCTTGCATGCTTAAGTGGCCCAGTTTGTTTTGACCAAGGAAGATGACTGACCGGCACATCAGCCCAGCCTAGGGTCCATCCCAAGGATGTGTGGCGGGCCAATGGTCCAGCACACCACATGTGATTCGGCATGATAAAATCAAGAGGCTGAGTAATTCCATCCCCTTTACTTCTATGATCATGTCGCAACTGAGTGGCAGTGCACCTAACCCCATTCTAAGAGTCCAGGCGGCTCTTAGCACTCTCTGCTCCGAGCAGGGGGCTTGCCCACAAGAAATTTACCAAAACCTTGCTGTCAGGGGAAGCTGACTGGCAGCTCCCAATTCTCTTGCCATGAGCTCCAAAATAGGAGCTCTGACGATGGCGATATGTTGCATGTCAGGAAGGCATACAGGGCGCAGGCGCCAAAAACCAGGTCTGGTGTTTCAGAGAGGGTTCGAGTCCTGCCAGGGCCTAACTAAGTAGATCTTAGTTGTGGGCACTAAACAAGCTACTGTGTGAACTTTTTTAGTCCTTGCCTAAATATGCGCTCATTGTGTTGTGAGTCGTCGGGGAGGCGGAGTTGCAACAACTGTGGGGGAACATGGAGTGATGGTACGTACGGGAAATACAAGACATCCTTCTGATCGACACGTATGCCAGGTGCCTCAACATGATGGCTTATGGTGGGTGCACCGGTGTTCAAAACCCCCTCAAAAGGGGTCCTCGTTTTAAGACAGACCCGGACATCATTTCCTGGCCTTCCCATGCCAAATGTGCACGGCGCCCATATCTGAATCACCAGGGCCCTTGGTTTCATGCGTCCTTTCGGCGTGATCTTGCGACGCGCGGGGCGGACGCTGTACAGATGTCTTCCTCTCCGGAAACCTGTTTGTGGATTTCCTGAAGCATGTCCATGTTGCTCCATTTCATGAGAAATTTCTCATTTGCTCCATTTGATTTTCTGAAGCATTTGGTCGCCGGGAAGTAAGCGGAGTCCACGCCAAGCATGGCATGTATAAGGCACACGTCGGGTTCAAACGCGTCGTGCGTGCTCAGGCTTCGAGTCGTGTGTTTGACTTTGGATTCCAAGCAGTTGGTCTGATTGCGCTCCACAAAGCCGGTAGCACGGGGCATATGCAACTTGGATCTATGAAGGTTTACCCTCCCGAAGACTAACATGGAAGCTTCCAGGACCCCTTTAGATGACTTGGCTCCATTTGCAGAGGCCTTCTGAAAACCTTCCATGTTAGTCTGAGGGAGTGTAGCTATGTTCAATTGTGGCCACCATTGGTGCCATATCTCCATTCTTTGTTCCATTCTTTTTTGGGTGCCTACTACTTTGCGACATGGGCCGGACTTCTGGGAGCTTGCCCGGTTTCTCGACCCGGGCGGCTTGGACTCCTGACGGTTATCCCTGACCTGACCCACCCTGACCCACCATTTAAGCTGCTCAATAAGCTTTTGGCAGCGTGTCCCTTTCGATAAGTCCAACCGTTGTCCTTGCCTCCCACTTGCACCGAAGTCGCCGAAAGGTCCCTGTTGAGATGAACACATGTTCCAGGCCCCTTCAGTCATGTGATCAGGCTTCATGGCTGTGAAGGTCCACCGCATTTTGAAGCCAACCCTGGCAATCCTCACCCGAGTTTCTCCTTTCTCAGCTTCTTCCAATTGGTGGTTTGGATGTGTGGTTTGGTGGTTAAGGAGGGGTTTTTCATGTACTCTCTCCAAAAACCAAAAAACAACAATCCCAAACCACCAATCCAAGCCACCCATTTGAGGGAAGCTGACATTCAGACGCCAAGCCTTCGGCCCTGGGATGGAGATCTCTGTGGCCATTTGCGGCCATGTGGATGCTGGCCCCTCGGCACATGTCTTGAAAGCCCCAAGGACGAAACATGTCTTCCATTTGCTTAAGAATATGTGTTTTGCTTTCCCTTGTTGGTTTTAAACAGAACTTATCACTAATACATACTAATATGTTTTCCCAGGGGTCTTAGCCAAATGGAAGATGTGTGCGGGGGAGGCCCTTTTTGATTCTTACGCCCATTTGCTCTTTGAGGTGTTCCTTCATTTTTCGTTTAACTTGTGGGGTCAGATTTTGTGGGCCCAGACCTGGCACAGGAAAGTGCTCAACCACGGGCCTGCTGCTTTACGAGCTGGGGGGCCTCACTGAGCGCGAGCTCGAACAACTGCGGGCTGCCGGGCCTGTGCGTGCCAACCTGCGCACCGTGCTGCACGAGCGCGGCGAGGATGCGAATCAACCTCCGGTCCTTTTGTTGCGAAGGACTTTGGTTGGATCTTTAGACTTAAACTTTTTGGGACATCAAGGGGGGTTCGACTAAACCCACAAAAAGTTAACAACTTTTGTTGCAGAGGGGTCAACAGCAACCAAGGTTCTTCAAAGTCAACTGTCAAAAAGCAGCGCCTTGCCCCTTTTCTTTCTTTCAGTACCCAGTTTAGCAAATCTGGCAAACAATAGGGGTTGCAGCCTCATTGATGATAAAAGTTCCTTTTGAGAGTTAGCATGCGGATAGAGTCTCGAACCATGCTATGGGTGCAGATGCCAGTGACAGAGACATTGTTGGCATCGGTATCAAAGGACCAAGCTTGGACGCCACACTTGATATTCCCCGACAAAGACTCACAATCGTTCATGGCTCCAGTGAGGCCTTGCATTGAGTGAAATTTCGGGTCATGTTTGGCGGCGGGGTGCCGAATGGCTAGCTCAGCCCAACAATGAATCCTTTCAGCCCAACAGAACGACAAAAGCGGATGGGTTTTTGTTCATTTGCCATATCCCAATTTGATATTTTGGCGCGTCCCACCGTCCAGTTCAGCCTCTTTGCAGGAGTCGAGTCGGGGCTTCATCATCAGAAGCAAGACAAGGAGCAAAGCCTCTAAACACTGACCAAGCCTCCAGGGATCCCTGTGGCAAAAAGAACACGTGGCTTTCCGTGTCACGTTCTTTGAGGGCCCGGAATTCTACCTGCTCGTTCTTTGTGCTCTGTTTTCGTGTTGTTTCCTCTGCTCGTGATCTTGCAGCAACGAGGAGGATAGATACGGAGCACCGGAAGTGCACGCTCATTACGGTGCCGGGGCATCGGGACTTCGTCAAGAACGTGTCGCCTGGACAAATCACGATTTCTCCGATAGGGGGTGGGAAAAGGGAGCGATCTAGGATTCAAGCAATGATGAAGGTTCCTTAGAAGGGGACTCATGGAAGTGGGCAGAATTAGAAGGCCTTCAAAAGGTGATGGTGGTCCTCCGCAACCATCCTTGTGGGAGGGCGCGAGCTCGCCCAGCCGATTTAAGCCATGTTGATATGTGTGAATGCTGGTTGAGTCCGTTTCGGAGGTGTCGCATTTGCGGCGGGCTGTGTTTGGAAGGAATGGAAAGGGACATGGATGGACGAAATCCATTTCGCACCACCTAAGAAACCATGGGAAACCACTGTCTGTTGGTCTCTACAGGGAATCAGACCATTCCAGGGCTTCTTCGGTGCGAAATGGATTTCGTCCGTCCACAGTAGTAGTTCCAGAAGCTGGTTTAAAGAGTTGAGATCGACCTTAAGACCTTAAGCCATCCTTTTGATTCCCCCGCTTCAGGCATACCACATGTGAGTCCGTGACCTTGTTTAACAACACCAACGCTGTTGCACCTGCTATGGGTGTGTGTGTGTGTGTGTTGTTTTTTAGAGGGTGCCCTTGTTGGACTGGTTTTAAAGGGAAGCTACGAGAAAAACAATTCTGGAGGAGGGGGGGTAAGTTGGCACGCTCGCTACACTTGGTTGTTCTTTGCCCCCAGCTACCGCCTCATATATTTCAGGCCTGTTAAGGCATAGCCCCTGAACGAAGGATTTTTGAGGGCACCCTTGTTGGTTTGTTTTAAAGGGATACCAAAAGGACACCACCCTCTTAAAAGGGTTCGAATATTCTGTGACATCTCCACAGGTGTGGATTCCAAATCCCTGAGAGTCGTTGGTTGTCTGGATTGGTGGTTTGGGGATGTTTTCACCCCTGGCCTTCGGCCAGGTTCGCCGGAGCTCAGCAGGCGGACGCCGCCATCTTGGTGGCCCAGTTGCAACCAGTGGCGCCCTTGTTTTTTTTAATTCTCCTTGTTTTTTGGGAAGGCTTCCCTTTAAACTCACCCAACCCAAAAAGGATGCCCTTTTTTTTGCCTGGCGACTGGGCATCTGAGGTGGTGCCGGCGGACGAAACCTTTCCGAGCGCCATCGCCGGCGGCTTTGATGGCCCGGGGCAACCTGGCGCGAGTGCCTTAAGCGCCTCCCAAAGACAGGGATGCCCCGTTTCGACGCTTGGAAACGTCAGGAAAATCAAAAGAAATGAGAAGAAACCAGGGGCAAAGGTGTATGGCGGCAAGGCAACGAGTCAAGACCCTTTGAACGCAACGGCAAAGAGAGAGAGAGAGAGAGAGAGAGAGAGAGAGAGAGGTGTATGGCGGGTTGGGCTTTTGTTTCCACAAACAGGGGCGAGGTTGTGAGCAAATTGAAGGGCGCTTTCACTTCTCAGGCCCCTATTGACGTGCGCTTTAATTCTTTGTGAGCCCTAGTTGGCCCTAGGTTTTACCAAGCCTTACGTAGCCTTTGGGGGGTGGTTCGCAGGGTGTTTGGTGTGAATCAGGTTAGACAAGAGGCACCACGCCTGAGGCAATCGAGGCACCACGCCCAGATTCTGTCAGCAATGGGTGTGAAGCAGCTTTGCGTCGTGGTGAACAAAATGGACTCGGCTGCGGCCCGGCCGGTTCCTCAGGCGAATCCCGCTGTTTGTGAAAGACAGTTTTGGCCCTGGTTGGTTTCTCGCGAAGAACAATCATAAGGGAATGGTTTGTTTCGACACGTCCCTGTTTGCAACGGTGGTATCAGTTTTTGATCGAATTTTGGCGCGAGGTTCAGCCAGGAGAGATTTGATGCCCAGATACCCAGTGGCACCTTTTTGTCGCGTTGTTTTTTGGCGGGTTCCCTGGAAAATAGTCTACATGAGGGCAAGGCTTTGTGGCATTGTTGCCATTGTGCGACCACTTGGATGTTCAACCAACTCAGGCTTTCCCTGGGGTCGGCCCCTTTGGTTATCGCCCACCAAGAGCAGGTATGACCAAGAGGCCCATCAAACATGAATTGGACATGTGTAAAACCACCCCGGGGAAACCCCAAAATGGTGGCATTCCCTTTGCCGTACCGCCCCCAAACTCAGTTGTTCAAAGCCAACCTTTTGACCTCCCCGTTCTTGTCTATGTTTAGTAGAGGTCCCAAAAGGTTACCTCCAAACAGCTCAGACCCATCTCTCCCGCCTTTGGCCCCGCTTGAGGAAGAGATCTCCCAGGAGGTGCGGAAAATGCTGCTGCGAAGCGGCTGGCCCAGAGCGGCAGTGGACACGCAGATTCCCATCGTTCCCATCTCAGCGCTTTGGTGCCAGCCTAGCTAGTCCCCCAGTAGTGCCCTTTTTACCTTTTTTCGGGGGAGGGTTCCCCTACTAAAATAGACTATAGGACCTAGGAAGCTGTAGACTAAAAACCTCTCTGCTGTAGAACCTAGGCCTAGGATGGGGCAATGGCTGCTGAAGGTTAGCTTCGGGCAAATCTGGATGAACGCGCTCATCATGCTTAAGGATATGATTTAAAGGGGTGTTCCTTTGACTGGAAGGGCTCTCTTCATAAATCCGAGGTTAACATGCAACAACCTGGCCCTGGTCGCTGGTCGCCTCCGAAGGGACTAGTAATCCAACCAATAGTCCAACGAATGTTCTTTCCAAGTACAGTCCAAGCGCTGGATAAGAATCCGGGCTCGTCAGACTCAGGGACCCTCGGTTACTCAACCTAAATTTCCGTGTGGAAGTCAGTGTTTTTTGTTCCAGGATCCTTCAAATTCTCAGCATTTTCCTAAGCTGGTCACGACTCCGCGGCAGCTATTTGTTGCTGCAGGGCTTGGGTCCAGAGGGTGTACCGTCTTGCAATCAGAGACGCGACTCTTGCTCTAGCAGACAAGCCCCTTCCTAGCGACACACAAATTCTTAGGAACCCTCAAATTGTTAGGAACCTAGGAACCCTCAAATTCTTGCGCCTGACCGTTCTCTGGCTTTCAGCCACACAAAGAATGGAGGGAGCTGAGAATTTCGGCCTGGAGCCGAGGGACCCTCAAATTCCTAAGATAGTTATGGCCCTCGCAATGCAGCATAATGTTTTTAACTCCGGCTGCGACCCCTCAGTTTCTTATCCAGTGTTTTCTGAAACAGTGATGTTTAAGCCTAAGTAGCCAGCTTTGCGAGAGCGTCCCTGGCCAAGAGTGCTCCTAATGCGAGACCTGCGGGATAGCACTGGCTAGAGAGAGGCAGAGAGAGCAGTACGTGGGTGGCCCAAGCCTGAAAGCACTCATTGTTAAAGGCAATGTTGACCCCAGATTTATCAACCCTCTCTGGATTAATTGAGGCAAGGTAAATGATTGCCTCTAACAGGTGGGGGCCACCCCCCCAATTAATCAACCAGCACTTCATAAAACCCTGGTTCCTCATCGAGGGACAACTGCTTTGCCAGGTCTCGACTGTCACTCAAGAAGCGGTTTCCAATTTTGTGGGGCCATGTTTGGCAATTTTGGTTTTGCAGTTCAAGGCGGCACGACACGACACATGTTCGTTTGAAAGTGCTATGTTACTGTACAGAAAGCCTCATTTTGTCCGATGTCAGGGTTCTGAAATTCCAAGAGGGGTTCTCAAGACTACTTTTGCGCGTGAGCGTGAGTTCATCATGTTTTTGCAGATTTTGCTGCTCGCTTGCAAGTGTGCATGGAACCCTACAAAAGGGATCCCCCCCAACAAGATATGGTTCAAATATCTTTGGGGCTTCGATACTAAAATCCGTCGGGGGCTACCACTCAGGCATGGACTGGTGCGAACTTCATGGCAAAGTCCGAGGACATGCCCTGGTGGAGCGGTCAGGAATTGACTTCTCACAAGGGCGACACTGTTCCTTGAATGCAAGTTGGTCTTGCCTGTTTTGTTCCTTTGTTATTTTAGTCTAGAGCCAAGAAGTTGTAACGTGTTCTGTCAACTCAGCAGGTCTCAGGGTCAGGGGTTTGACTGAACTTACCTTTAACTTGTCTGTTGAAATGTATATATATATATATATGTATATCTAGATATGTATATGTATGTTTTTTGTACATCTACATCTGTACATTTCGCTTACCTGCTGAAAGCTCCTCACTTTGCATTTTTTCGCAGACACGGCTCAAGGTGTGAACTCCATGTCTGCGCGCCTTGGGCAAGGGGCAAATGGGCCGAGGTCCACGTGGACACACTTTACGATGTCCTGAACAGTTTCTTTGAGCCACCGGAGCGTCTCGTAGATCTGCCGCTGCGCACTCTTGCCGCAGGTTGGAGCCCCCGAATTCGCCGACGTCGCCGACTGCATGCCTTAGCTTCAGGAAAGAATTCCAGGCATCCTTTGCTCCATCTCACTCGTTCAAAAGCAAACTTTCAGTTTTCTGACGGTCGCACTGTCTTCCTTTAGCGATGGCTGGAACCGGAAAACAACCAAAAAAGGAAGAGAACAAAGAAACACAACTTGCAGACACTAGGATTTAGACCAGGCCATATACCCACCGTTGGGCTTGATTTCACCACCCTGACTTGACTAGAGCAGATGCATTTCCCATGAAACAAACCGTAAATTTGGCGTGCACACTTAACGAATGCGGGTAATTGGAATTGGGGGAGGTTTTCCCCAGACTTTCAGAGGGGCACTTTTCACTTGAAGCTGAGCTTTTAGTAAATGGTTGCTGTTGTACTTTGTCTTGGAAGGTGAACTTGTTTTCCGTTTTGTTCTGAGCTTTTGTTTTGTGGTTTAAGTGTTTCGGCGTTTCGGTGAGTGAGCCTCTTCTATGATTCAGTGGCACTTGTTCTCCATTTTGGTTCGGTAGGTTTGGATTGATGGTATCCTGTTGGGGAATCCGGTTGATTCCATTTCTGGTGGGGAACTTCCCACCCTTCACATCTCCTGCCTGATGAAGCGATTGGTTTTTGGATGTTCTTAAGATTTCTGGTGGAGGAACCAACCTCCTTTAGCCTCCACATCTCCCCACATGGCTGTGGGTCAAAACCAATGGTACCATTTTGGGGTAGGTGAATTCACCACCCATTTTAGTCGAGATTTTAGTGGTTGGATTGAATCGGATGTTCAGTGGGGGCTAACCGATTTGGTGTTTAAAAAGCCCATGGCCACATCTCCCCTCCGCTCCTTGCCTAGGCATGGTGGTCTCCGAAGCCTTCAAAGTGGAGCTGGGCCACGTGGTCGTTGGGCGCCTAGAGCACGGCGCGCTGAAAGTGGGCGACGCCGTGTCCTTCCGGCCCGGCGCCGTGGGTGGCGAGGCGCGGCGGGGCCCGCGGAGGTTGGGCGAGGCTTCTTCGCAGGTGGAGGAGCCCTGCTTTGGGTTTTTGCTAGGTGCCCCAGTAGTGCCCTTTGACCAACTTTTTTGGGGGAGGGTTCCACTACTAAAATAGACCACATAAAAAAGGGTACCCTTATTCCAACCTCTCTACTGGAGGACCTAGTTTGGTTTAGGGAAACCAAACAGAAAGAAACTAGAGAGACCCGTAGCTGTAGCTACGTCAACGCCCGGATGAAAATCATTGCACTGATTGATTGGTGCGGGAGACCCCCGTTGAGTGGTCCGGAGCACTTGTGGGCACCCCCCAAGAAACATATAACCACTTCAAAAGTGAATCTCCATCAGAATGACGTGCGCCGAAGCCCCCCCATTGAAATGCTTGGTCATTTTGGATGCCCGAAGGAGAGGAAACCGCCAGCCGGTGCTTTGTTTTGTTTGCATTCGTCGCACATTCTGGGTCCATTCATTACAAACGCCACCCCCCAGAAGTAGTTGGGGCATTTGACGAGCCCTCAATTCCCTTTCATGGACCCAGTGTCTCCAACTGACCCCCAAAATGGGTCAACATGGATGGCTTTCATTTGGTCTCCCAGCATTATTAAACAACCCTAAAAGGAGCACTCTCAAAAAGACCCCCACTTCTGTCAGTACAGGACACCTCCCCCTTTAAGTGAGAGGATTTGTCAGGTAGCCAGCTCCTCACCCAGACCTTTTGGCCTTCCATGTTACCCTGCTGGAGGTTACATTGGATGGACTTAGGTGTAACGCTCCAGTTTATCCTCCGTCTTGCATCGCAGAGGTGCCCCACGCACTGCCGCCCCTCTACCCGCTACCAAGGTTCTCAGATTTGTTTGAGAACCCCCTTAGTAGCATTTGTGTGGTTCCTTAGACGGCCCTACTTGAATACCTGTTTTTCAGTTTGCTTATTTTCCTGCAGGGTGGGGTTGCCCCACGTTTTTTTTTTTTTTAAAGATGCCCAGTGGCCGGTTTTCCCCTGTGGTGAAGGAAACCCCTTTGACCTCCACCAAAACCGGGACCTTGAAACCCCCCATGGTTTTTCCGGGTGTATCCCCTGACCCTAGGGTTCAACCCCCATTAAAAGAATTGTTAATCCATCTCGGATGATCTAATTTGAACCCCAGGGCTGAGTTACAGCCCGAGGTGCAAGAGATCACCCGCTTCCGGGAGCCGCTGGTCACTGCAAGCGCTGGCCAAATCGTGGCAGCGCGCAGCTCGGAGAGAGAGACGAGCCACGAGTTGGCCAGGTTACCTCGGGCCGGCGGGCGGGGTGGGTCGGGGGTAAAACGAGCTCACCATGCAGGGCCTTGTCTTAAGGAACCCTTGCTTGAGGTCTTGGAAGTAATGTGTTGTAAACATGGTGGATGATTGTCCTTTGCAAACATGACGAACAACATGTTTAAGTAAATGGATATGTTCTGTTTCATGTTTCTGTCCCTTTCGCCATGTTTCATCTTTACCATTTGCTGGCATCATGGCGGCAAACAGTGGTCCCATCCCAAAGGAGAGGTCAACGTCAAAGCCTAGTACTTCCACAAACAATATTTGTTGGAAATTGCACTCTGCCCTTCTTGGTTTCAGTTTGTCTGTCCCTCACCCTGTGTCGCGCCCGGGCAACATTTGCGCACCTACCCTTTGCTTGGCCAGCTTAAGCATTGCCTTTCTGTCAATTTGTATATAAGTGTTCTTCCTTTTAGTGAGGTGCTGTGCAAAGGAAACATATAGACACCCCAAATCCCGAATTGTGGTTCTGTCGTTCCAGAGTTTGGTTGTAGCCAGGCCCCTGAAATATCAGGTCTTCATTGTGACTCACAGCAGTTTTGCCTTAGGCGTTTGTTTCATAAAGCTGCCCCAAACACACCACCCTCCGCAAACCTACCTCCGGCTTTAGCCAAAAGAAGAGATTTCCGCGAGGCAGCGTGTTTGGGGTCTCCGGGGGTGATCATAGGTGTCCTTTCTGTTGTTGGTTGATTTGGTTGATAAAAAGAGTGCCCTGGTTTACCTGGTGGTTCCATCAACTACCAGGGCCATCTATTTTCCCAAAAAGGACACCTGGGGGTGATTGTGAGGAATGCATCTCGCGGACGGTGACCGACCGCGCTATGGGGATGTCATGGTTGGCGCAGCTGACTGCACGCTGCAGGCCGTTCAGAGCTTCACTGCTGAGGTGCGCTTGGAAAGTAGGAGATGAGTTGCTTCAGTGGTCCAACGGTTACTTCAGTATTTGAACCAGTCCAGATTCCAAATCTTAAATCCTTTGTTTCCAGGTCCTTTGGGCAGGTGAACTTCGGGAGTCTGAGTTTACAGCCGTCCAAACTGATATATTATGTTCAACTATGGTAAGTGAAAGTGAAAGCACTCCACTCAGCGCGGGTTTTGCACGTTCTTTAGTGTCTTTTGTTTGTTTCCAATCAGGGAGCGGTAAAAACCCATCTGAGAAGCCAGGTCCAGAGAGGTCCAACTGGATCCACAAGTGTCTCAACATGGCCCATGGTGGTGAACACGAATCCCCAACACCTCACTTGCCAAACAAGTTGTCGAAAAGGTTCCTGCTAGAGGAAAATGATCTTTTAGGAGGGGCCCCTTTCAGGTTTCATGTTTGCTTTTGGGAAGGGTATTTTGGGCGGTTCTTTGATTTGGATATAGATTACGGATCCATGTTCTGCTTTGTGGGAAGGGCAAACCAAATGGATTTGCCACCCGCACCCCCTTCCCCCTTTCAAGTGCGGGCATTTCAACACGCAAGTCTTTCTGCTCATTCCGACATTTTGGGTGGAACCACATGTTTTAGATGGTTCTGTGCATGTATCTTCCCAGTTGGCAACACAGCCATGTGTCCACTTTCCGGCCCTCCCCAAAAAAAGGAAACCCAAAGGATACTGTTCAACAATGGTTTGATCAATCATGCTTGAACAAGCGGTTGGCTCAACCCTACTGTGGATGGACGAACTCCATTTCGCAACACTTTGAAATCATGGTTGAAACCACCATTTGTTGGTATTTGCAGCAGAAAACAGACCATTCCAGGGTTTCTTGGGTGCAGAATTTGGTCCATCCAGTAGTCCCATTTGGCCTCCAGGTCTTAGTACTTGACTGGCCGGGCGAAATACGCGTCGGCTACTGCCCACTGGTGTTCGCGCGCGGGGGCAAAGTGCCCTGCCGCCTGTCGCAGCTGACGCGGCGCACGGCCCGGGATGGAACAGAGGAGGAGCACCCACAAACGCTGCAAGCACGCGACACCCAGTCCAGTTCTAGGTGTTTTGTTCAACTTCTTGGTTGTGTCGGTCGGTTTGGCTGGCCTTTCAATTGATTTTATGTTGCGTTTCTATGTGTGCCTTTTTTCTGTTTGCTTTGTTGGCACATTGCTTGGTTGGCTGGTTGGCTGCCATTTTTACACCTTGTCACCCCATGCCTACTGCGCAAGTAAGGATGTGGCAGAATGCACTTTCGTACCGCGGATGCCCTTTCTTTGCGAGGCCTTCCGCTCGTGTGAAAGCTTTGGGCGACTGATTTTCATGGACGGCAGCTGGATGCTAAATGGTACATGTGCTTCTCAATTTGCCCACACGGAATGGGGGGGGGGAGTTGGAAAAGGAGTCTTGAATGTGTTACATGTGCTTCTCAAAACGGGGGGGGGAGGGGGAAAAGGATTCTTGAATGTGGTTCTAGACCCCGCTCTTTTGGCAACTGAGGCAACCAGATGATAGCCGTGGGCAAAGTTCTGCGCTGTGAGACTCATGAGGACAAGGACAAAGGTGGCAAGAAGAAATGAGAGGTGACGAGCTTGAGTACCGCTCCCTTTGGTTTGGGAAGACCCGTGCTAAAGCGCCCGGGCGGCAGCCAACGGCGCGGCCAGCCAGCCAGCTTGACGTACACGGTGCACGCGGCAGAAGCTGGGTCCAAAGCGGGCTTATTTGTCCAACGCCCAAGTTGAAAAAGGCTTCTCTGTGCCCCACCGAAAAACACAGGGTCTGACTGGAGGTGCCCGAATCTTTCCTCTTACAGGGACTGGTGGGCCCCCACCTGATGCTAAACCAATTAGAGCTCGCCATGGATCTTTCGTTGTTTGTTTTAACATGGATTTGGATTGGCGGCTTGGGGATTTGAACCTCTGGTTCTTGTAGATGGGAAACCTGAAGCTTGAGGTTGGTAAGAGAGGCACTAAAGGTTGACTGTAGGTCAAGCATTAGATCCTGGGTCTTTCTTTGCTGAGAGTGGGAACGGGTTGGCTTCCACGTCTGCAATAGGAAGAAGTGTGAACGGACAAAATCCTGCAGGTCCTTAGGTGGTCCATTCCGCCGATTTTAGTTCATACACCGTATACCCTAAAGCGAACCACAAGGGCACTGATCATGGACTTTCTGGAAGGGTGTCCCTAGAATCTTACAAATACACCACGAAGCATCGCAAATGGCGAGTTTCAATGCTTCTCACGCACTGGAGAACTCCAGTTGTTCAGCGTCCCACCCTCAAAATGCTTGTCTGTTTGCTAAACATGGTCAACCAGCCAACGCTCACTTCCAGGTTTCCTGGACTTCATACTTGTTGCAAGGATCATAACTTTTTGTTGGAACATCCACTCAAGCGGCACGGCACTTTCTTTTCCTGCCTTTCGGGCCAGTCAGTGAGCCAAAGGCCAAGCTGCACTCGTCCCATACCCGCCTGAATAAGGATAATGTGGTTGTGGATGCTGTGGGAGGCTTCAAAGCCAAAAGTCATTCTCAGAAGAGAATCCTTTGTCAATGTGTGTGTGATCCCTTGACTGGAAAACGGGGCTAACCCTTTTGGTTTTGAAGGGAATCTGTCACTATTGGACTTTTTGTCCAGGGGGCTGAAGCAAATGGAGGTGAGCAGCCCCGGGTGATGTGCTTGGCCGTCGCAGGTGAGGACGAGGAAGGCGAAGCGGAACTGGCCCGCCGCGGGCCCAGTGAGACGCTGACAGACACGGAACTGTCAGTAGATTTGGGAGGTTCTACCCAATGGACTGTGTGACTTTGTGAGGAAAAACATCCTTTTCAGCTTGGTTTGAAGGGAATCCAAAAGGAGAGGCAACATTTGGGGGTCTCCCTATGTTGACCGAACCTCAATTAATTGGTAAGTAGGTTGCAACAATGGCGGTGAGAGAACTAGCCTCAGCTAATTCCCCCAGTTATCACCATGACTATCACGTACTTACTAAGTGGATTGAACATCCAAGATTGTCAACATCAAGGTTGCGGAAATGAGCCCCGTCTATGATTTCGTATGGTGCTGGTTCATATGAATTCGCATGACCCCCTGATCCCGCTTGCAAGCGGGATCATGCCCAATTTTCCAACCCGTACTGCATGATGTCTTGGCCTCACGTGTTAGGAGCTCGGTTCTTCGCTGGATGTAAGCATCACCTTTTGGAGCCCTGTTTTCCTTGTCTAGGTCTGCGGAATGGTTTCCGCCTAACTAACACATTTGATTTACTTGTTTTGCGTGCCCTAAGGTTTTTAAGGCAAGCGTCTGGAAAAAGGCCTGGATGTGGAAGGGGCAAACATATTTTCCCCAAGAATGTTACCAACATAATCATATGACTCAGTTTGGTACAAAGTACCGGAACTCCATTTAGATCAAAGCACTTCTACTGAATCGATGCAGGGCCTTGACCCCAGGACCGTGTCCCAGCGGTATCCCGATTGTTTTGCCGTTTTGGGGACTCTTGACAACTCCTTATCCTGTTGTTTTCTGGGTTGCCCTCTAGGGCAATCGAACAAAGCATGCGTTTGATCAATGAGAGACCTAAAGCAAGCACTCACCACCAGCTGAGGGCAAAATGAAGAGGAGGAAGACGAGGAAGGTGAGCCAATCGAGGCACCGCTCATGTCACCTGCAGGTGTGTTTGTCGCCGGGCAAGCCGCCTGACTGACATGTTGAGACATGCGAGATCGTCGTTGCGGCTTGCTCCGCATCTTGCGGGTTCAGCTTTCCCAAGATGGCGTGTGAAGGTTGGTCACGTGATAAGATGTTATAAGTTGAAGTAGCTGGGGCACCTTGTTAAAAGTCGACTGGGTCCCCCAGTAGTGCCCATTTAACCATTTTCCGGGGGAGGGTTCCCCTATTAAAATAGACTACAGAAACAAATGGTACCCTTATTCTAACCTCTTTACTGGAGGACCTAGTCGGATGATGGTTGCTTTGCTCGGTCGCATGGGCCACCTTTGTCGGGCTTGACGCCTGGCCCCTGGCCCCTGAGCGCTTAGCATAGGGTCCCACCCCGCTTTGCTTCAGCCCTCCTGCCCCTGGTTTCCTCAAGGCCTGGGAGGATGGGGGGCGAGATCCTATGTCAATTCCCACGAAGAACCTAGTGGATACATTCAGACACCCTCCCCAATTTTGCCACACGACGCTTTGCCAGGGATGGCTGGAACGAGTTTACACAGACAGGCTTTCTGATACTGGTGAAGACTTGCTTGAAATTTGGCTCGTGCCAGTCTGGCTGAAAGAAAGGGAAGCATGCTGCAAGGGTTCACTATTATACCACCCGTTTGGTGGTACTGAGCATGACCTGGGACTCAAATCAAAGGGAGTTGTTCGTTTGGTTGGCTGATGCTTTGCACGACAGATTCCAGTTTGGATGGACTTTGAACATCTAGCGTTTGCCTCTATGAAAGTCAGATTTGGTTCCATCTTTGCGACGACTAGATGGCTCAACCTTGCCAGGACGGCCCTGATCCCATGATCGAGCTGCAGGCCCCCGGCCTCGCGTCACACTTGTGGGCAGGTGAGCCACAATGAAGACCAGAGGGAGGTAAAAGGGCCCAGTCTTGTGGACAAGCCCATTTGGGAGGAGAACAATTGCCATGCAGGATAAATGATACCAAAAACACAAACCAGGGAGGGCAAAGCTGGCCAAAAACACATCTGGGCAGGGACCATCACCCGTGAACCTGTACCTTTCTGGGGTTTCTGACGGACCTCAAGTGCTCCTGTCATACTGTCTGAAGGAGTCAACCGTCCACCAGGGGATTTGTTTTTAGTTGTTGCTGGATCTTGTGGTTTGACCGCATATGAGCGACCTTAGCCATGAACAAAAAGTCTTTCAATGAATCAGGATCACTCTGGTTTTAAGCTTTTCAAGTTTCAGGATTGACCCCGAAACGGTGGGCTTGCAAAGCCATGGGGGTGCACAGATTCCATGAAGGCTGTGACAGGACCGAGGTTTTTTCCCGCATTGCGAGGAGAGGCTTAGCCAGCTGCTGGACCAGAATGAGCGGCTCAAGGGCAAGAACGCGAGGACCTTGGATGCATCCGATTGCACCAAAGCCAGCCGCCAGGCTGTTGGCTTTTCTTCAACAACGGGGGACCCGCATCGATTCGTTTGAAACATGTTTGCCCAACCTGCACTGCGGATCGGCAGGAGTCCGAGAATCCTGTAGGTGTCCCTTGGGTGAGTTGCACACTGTTCATGCGAATCTGAATTGAGTTTCTCTTTAGTAAGTTTGGGACACCTTTGCGCACTCCGCTCAACCTGTCACCAGTATCATGAACCACCAAGGGGGCGCTGTGGACGGGGGACTATCACCTATTACCTCTCAATCTGGCTTGGCGTATCCTGGGCTTATCCAACAGCCGCCCTTGGAAATCCCTTCTGCAGGATTAGTGTTCCCAGACATCTAGCGGTTCCCTTAATGAACTATCACCAAAAACAAGGGGAGGCTACAGACGGCAATGTCAGAGGACAAGGTTCCAAAACGCCTCCTATGTTTTGGCAGCCGAGAACTCTTTGGTTGATTGCGCGCACTTTCGCACCGAACTTCAACTCAAACGTAATTCATTTGCTGAGATTCTGGGCAGCGTTGCTTTATTTTACCATATCTTACCACCTGGACGTGTCGTTGTTTGAGGGCCCCCTTTTACTTGGTATGTTTAAGACTTTAATGGGCAAGTGCGCGGAAAAATGTTTGGTTGAAAGCAAATCATGTTGGTTTGGGGGAGGCTTCCCTGTTTCGATCCCAGGTTTGGCACTGTCCGAGTTTCGCCCCCAGAATCAACGGGCGCTTTGGTGGGGATCGGCCCAGGCCGCGCTCCAGCGCGCCTTGATCAACCGACGGGCGCAAGACAAGTCCTACGACGCCTCAGAGAAGCAGCACGATGGCCCAGGGCGAGCGCGATCGTTGTGCCCATAGGTGTCCTTTTTGGTTGATTTGGTTGAAAAATAGAGGGCGGTTCCTGGTTTAGCTGGTGGTCTATTTTCCCAAAAAGGACACCTATGGTTGTGCCTCTCTTTGGGAGTTACATGGCCCGTGCCCCATGAATTGGTTAACCCCCCAAAGGAAACTAAACCGGGATGCATTAGTTTATGGACAGATGACCAAACCTCAAGGGTGGGAGAAAAATTGGTGGGGTCACGAGGTGTTGCGTCAGCCCATGCTTGGGCGATGTTCTCTTTTGGCAGGGTGATACTTCAACAGGGCATACCGAGCCTGGTGGATGGCGGCGGTTGGCTCGAACTGTTTGTGATCCCCAGGGTCCCTGATGCTATATCAGAACAAGATCTGATTCCCCAAACGAAAGCGCAAAGGGAAGGTCGTCCTTTTCCCAGACCATCAGGCTAGCTGAAACGCTCAAAGCAATTGCAAGGCCTTCATGCAGCGTATGAGTCGCGAATTGTGGCGTCGTGTGATTATGTTTGTTTTTTGTGTGTCGTGTGGCGTGCCAGTGTTGCAAAACCAGTGCTTGGAGTTTAGAGGACCACCCTTGGTTGAGCCTTTGGTTTGGCAAGTCTTGCAACCCAAAAGGGTGGTCACTTTTCGTGCCCCGGTCTTGGGCGCCTCATCGTCTCACCGTTTAGTTGGCCAGCATGTCGGGCTTGTCTCAGACAAAGGGGACCCCCAAAACTGTTGGTGTCCTTTTGGTCTCCCTTTTTCACCAGGTCACCAGAATGAAAGTAGATGGCCTTTCTTCGATCAGTAAGGGTCATGATGGAAGGCCAATTGGGGGATTGCACCATGTACTTTTGACCCGACTGTAAAGCGACCAAATAATTATAATCAAAACCCAGGTAGTTGAAGGTTACCAGGGGCAGCGAGAGACACGTGCGAGAATCTATGCATGGGTTTTGGGTAGCTACCCGCCCGGGATCAGCAGAAAGGCCTGCAGGCGGCAAGCAATCGGCAAGACCCGTTTCCCTAGCCGAGGTCGGAAGGGAAGGTTACGGAGCACAAGTACCAGAATGCCGGAGTCCAAAAGAGCATGTGCATCATGAGTCAATATTAGTGGATCAAGAATCTAAGTTGGAAGACCCTCGCTAAATGCCCTAAAATAAATAGCCCATTTTAACCGTTGCACACGTTGAAAGTGGTTGGAGAAGCGCCCCACGCACCCCGCCTTGTGGCCATGATCATGTTGCTGGCAACACGGCAGCAATTGCACGCCCCAGGCAACTTTGAACCCCGCAGCCGGTTCCGATCCCTTGGGTAATACGTCAAAGATTGCTCAACAGTTTTATGTGTGCATAGAAATTGGTTGGAACGTCTCCAAATAGTCAGCAGCCCATCCAAATGGATCAACCAATGTTGATCCAAGATGCGTGATTCAGTTTGCGATTGTCCTGGCATAGGAAAACACCACACTGGGCGGTTTCTCTTCTGGTACCCCCTTGAACCAATCCCCGACAAGGGATACACACCCAAGACAACATCACGAGACAACCATCTATGTTATGCGAAGGGCTTGCAGTCTGAGCATCTCAATTGGTATTTGAACCACCGAAGGGAAATCCGCAAAGGTCAGAACCCCTGGGCCCGTAATGAAAGACAAGTCAGATGCCTTCGTTTCCTCAGTGGAGCACTTAATCAAAGAAAGTCACTTTGGGCTCCGCTTCAAGAAAGGCCAAGTACGACAGTACGACATGATGGGCCTTTGTGCCATCAGGGCCCTTCACCCTTGTCTCAGCATTTGGTCAGGCGAGAGCGGCTTGCAATGAGACCGAATCAGCGGATCCGAGTTGGTTCTGGTGGGTGTCCTTTTTCTCCTGAGCCTGTTCCTTTCTGGATGGGTCCACATTGGCCCAGTTGTGCGGCCTTTTTCTCCTTTTAGTTTGAGATTCGCCAACCCCCGAGCCTCAACAAATGATGTCTTTGTTGTACCCTTGGCGTCTGGGCTAAACCACGTGCCAGATGCTGAACAACGTGCACTCCGAGCGCATGAAGCTGCGATTGCAGCAGGTCATGGCAGTTCGAACCCCGGAGCTCCAGAACACCTCTGGCTCTGGCTCGAGAGGTCACGCGGGTTTTGGTCCATGTTTCCACTTACCAGGGTTCCATTTTGGAATTCCGGTTTTCTGAGCCACAGCCAAGTTACCAGCTGGCATTTGTGCTTCTCTTTGTTTTTCTGCTGTATGGGGAAGTACAAATCAATCAACACAAGTTGCCAGTTTTCACTCCACGGTCACTGGGCTTCTGAGACAACCTGGGCGACCTGGGCTTTCAGATTGTTCGAGGGGGTTCTCGGGAGCGGTTTGAGGGAAGATATGTCGGATAGACACGTACGGCTACTTTCAAGTTTACTTTTGGATGTAGAAATGGCCCCGTGGAGCTCTTGTGAATTTGAGCAACTAACTGCAAGATGTTTACATGTTAGTGTTTGCACCTGGCACTTTTGGCATAATGTTCTTTCCAGCCGTGCACTGGTTTATCGTGTTTTTTTCTGCAAACTCTTTTGCATGCACCTGGTGCATCCTTGTACTTTCTCCATTTCTCACCTTGCACTTTCCCAAAAGCCACCAGGGATGGTGCGGAGGGCTCATTCCTCAAGGTTAATGAGGCTAGGCTTCAGCCCATCTTGCTACAGTCGAAGGATGTCCTTCACTTAATTCGCTAGCGTCTACCATACTCGGTGTCAAAAAAGAAAGCCAACAGTGCAGCTGTTTGGTCCTTGGGATTCGGATAAGCAAGTAGGCACACAGGATCACGGCAATGTGCCACGCTGGCAATTTAGAATATGTGCTAGCTAACTTAGGCGCGGATCGAAAAAAAAAAAAAAAAAAAAAAAAAAAAAGCAAAGCAACAAGTAGATAAAATAGACCGCAGCAGAAATATGTGTATTATACAAAAGTCGCGTTTGATATAGTAGCCCAACGTTTGGAGTAAATGATGCATTTGCCGACTTGGCGTGTGTTCATCTTCGAGGCTCGGATGAGTGACGAGCTGAAGTGCGGGGCCTAGCATTGAGGTTCGGAGTGGCCATCACCGGGCCGTGGGTTCTGATAAGCGGGTTCTGATTGCATGCCGCAGGACAATCATGTGGGTATGAGTTTTATTGAGGGACCCTCTGGTGGGCATCATTTTGGTGGGGATTTGTGTCCACCAACCTTTTGGGAGGGGGGATCCTCATGAAAATTCAGAGCCATGTGTGTAGCATCCTAAACCATGGTGCTAGCTGAGGCAGCCGGGCCGTTAGTTCCCTTATTCACCATGCAGTGTGCCGTGGAGGGGCTTAAGCTTCACATTTTGTTTGGGATTGGGGCGGTGTGTGTGTGTGTGTGTGTGTCTGCTTGTGCGCTGATCACTTTCCAGCTTGCCTGGGAAGGTCGATGGGTTAGTGCAGTTGTCTCACTTTTCAAGCGCGCATGCAGCGCACATTTGACGGTTGAGCTTGGACACACGCACACTCGCACACAGGTACCCAATGGCGACCTTTGGACCTGTTGCCTTCCTATGTTCGCTGCACTTCTGAGGGCGGTCAACCATATGTTGCCAGAGCAGCGGGCAAACGAGGGGAGGGCCGTTCCCCCTTTATTCAATGGAGCCTGATTGGTCAGCAGGGTGCAGAGGGCAATCCCACTTGATTGTTCTCAAGCCATGGCATCCCTGGTCCTAAGGGGGTCAACGCCAGTGAACCGGTCAAGAGACGACCATGTTTACTACCGGGTGCCAACTAGCCCCGAATGCTTCAATTGTCCCACAGGGCTATATTTGTTTTCCAGACCCCCTATTTATGTAGCGCCCAGGTTACAATTTTGGCGTGTTCGGACCTGAGGAATCAGCTGGAAGCCAAGCGGCAGAAAGCCATTGAGTGCTGATCTTAGTCACCGGACCGGCATGCGCAGGGTTATGTTTATGCAATCCGTGCTGCTTTAAAGAAGCCCTTTTTGGAGGCCTGAGCGACTTTCATGAAATGGTTGTGGAAAGCTGGGTGGGGCACGTCCCCCAAGCGCACGGCGGTTGACAGTTTTGGTTCAGTTTAGTTGTCCCGCAGAGCGGTATGTTTGGGGTGGTGGTGCCAGTGGCCTGGGTCAGAGCCTTTCTGCGATACCAAAAGGGGATCCCGTTTACACGTGAAGAAACGTAGTCATAGGTATGGCCGACCCACTTTGGATCACAGAAAGGGTAGCACATTGCATGGATACTTGTGGGATCCCTTTGTGGTGGAGACTTGCGCACGGCGAAGCCGGCGAACTCGAATTAGGAAGCAACCAGCCTCAGACTGGGTTCCCTGTTTTGATTGTTCAACCCCGAGGTGTCCATTTTCGACTTTTGAGCCGCCCATGGGTTGAAGCCTTGCTTGGGTATTCTAGGTCTCCCAGTGCCCTTTTACCGTTTCTTTTTTGGGGGAGGGTTCCTAAAATAGACAACAGAAAACAGTTGGTGCCCTTCTTCTAGCCTGGAGGATCCAGTGTTCAACAGCTGGAAGCCGCCGAGGTGCAGAGACTCCTTCCAGGAGTTCAAGCGGCAGATCGCCAGACACGCGGAATACGCCCGTGGCGCGCTGAGCCAGCCGTGTTGACACCGCGAATAGGCCAAAAGGGGGTGGATGTCTGATTCTGCTAAGTTGAGGGCCCCCAGCAAAGTGGTTTGTTTTGCAGTTTTCTTGAGAATCAGCAAAGGGGCGTCCATGTTAAGATGTACCCACCTGACGGTATAGTTGAGGGTTTGAGGCATATGGGTCCTTCTTGTGCAATCTATAGATGCCGCAGCACATACGCAACTTGCGAGTGGCAAATGAGCTTGTCTCCTAATAAGCCAGGGGACCCTACCCATACACGTTCCCTTTGACGGGAAATCAATGGGGCTACGTTTTTTTCATCGGTTGAAGGCTTTGATGTTACTTGCGCCGCCGGAAGCTAAGTGCCAGGCCTGGAACTAGCCTCAAATTTCCAGATCGCTGGATTCGACCAATGTTTCCGCAAATTCGGCAGCTCAGCCCAGGAGGTTGGCGCTAGCTTTGTTATGGGTCGATTTGGGGGCAAGGCCAATTTTGGTTCCCTGCTGGGCCACTTGGGGGTGGGCCTTTTTTGAAGGGCTTCCTTTTTGATCTTCCATTTGGGGGACATTGGGCATTCAATTTCAACCGGCTCCATCCTATCCACCAAAAGCCAGGCCTCTCAGTGGCGAACCGGGGAGGGAAGGGTTTGACAACAACAGGAAGGTTCTGCTGATTGGGATGACCTGGGTTTGGGACGGCCTGCGCTTGTTTGATATTGGTCCTAGCCTGGTGGTTGTGTGGGAATCCCCGGGGCTCGGACCAGCATGTCATTGCGCACTCAGCAATGCCGGCATACCCTGCAATCTCAAGGCGTATCAGTAATTTCTTGAGTTCGCAAGTTAGTGCCTGGAAATCGCCATGGGAGAAGATTTCCTCGACCCACTCATGATCCGCTTTTCTCAAGGCACCATTTCGGAGCATTTCAAGGTTGGGGACTCAGCGCTACACCCTGTTGTAACTTGCTTCTGCTTTTGCTACACGGCTCAGACAAGACTCTTTGTTTTGAACTGCCACCACGCCGTTCAGTGGCTTTTGGCGCAGGAAACTCCCGAGATGTCTATCTTCGACACTTTCGACCAGATCACAGCAGGAATGCAAAAGCGTGAGGTGCCTATGATGCGGGTTGTGCACCGCGGGGACAACATCGTGACCCTGGACAATCGCAGGTTGGCAGTCTACAAGATGGCCAGACGCGCCGGCGTCTGTGGGAAGGTCAAGGTGACAGTGGTGCCTGGGTTGGATTGGCATTTAGCTACGGGGCTAAACATGGTTGACCCCTCCAAACATGGATGATTTGCGTTTCTGTCGTGACAAGTTGTGTTGCCCCAAGCTGGTATCACATTGGCCATGTAAACAGATCGAAAGTTGTGGTGGTCGTTTCTTCCGTGTTTTGTTTCCAGGTGATATCAATAGTATTTTGGTGTGCGAGTCGGCACGGTAAATGCCCACCTTCAACATTGGAGTGTCTCAAATTGATGTCCGCGCTCGTGGCACGCTATCCCCGCGCGTCATTTGTTGTTTAGCTCTGGTTAATTTTTCATGGCAACCATTGTTCAAAGTGTTGGTCAAGTTTCTTCATTGATTCATATGTTTGGTTTTTTGTTTGTGGTCATTGTTGTTTCAACTTGGCTCTACTTGTTTACCATCGCCACCAAACTGCAGGTGCCCCTGGAGAGAGCTCAGAAGGAGCTCGCCAGCAAGTCTGACTCGAAACATGGCTGGCCTTTGGTGTGATCGCCCCTGAAAGCTTTTGGAAACCAATTGGGTTTGGCATTGAACCTACAAGAGGTGATCGACCTTTTGCTTGGAGGGAGCAACGCAGGAAAGTGGATGGACTTTCAGTGAAAGTTCGCGGAATTCATGTCACCGTCCATGCTGATGGCAGTGTGACCAAGAAGCCCAGCCTCTCCGATGGACAGCTGCAGCACCGTGCGGATATGGGCGTCTTGGCAATGGTTTCGGTTGTTTTGGTTTAACCAATTCAGTGCGGTCCAAGCAGACCTCAATGGCCATAATCCGTCATGAACTGTTCGTTGGTGATAACATCTCGGCAATTCCACCTGATGAAAAGTTTGTCCCATCAACAAAATCATAGGAACCCAGACATGATTTTGAGGTTGGCGATGAGTTGTTTTGCCACTCAGTGCGCCATTTTGTTTTGGAACTGAGGAGGGCATTGGACTGCAGAGCAGCATGACATCATCTCACGAGGCATCACTGACATTGAGGCTGTAGTGAAGAATGTGCTGGGCGGTTCGGCGAAGCTGATGATTCCTGGTGTTGGACGACGTTTGTTAGTTTTGTGTTGGTGTGTTGGTGTGTTTGCTTGCTTGCTTGCTTGCTTGCTTGCTTGCTGGCTGGCTGGCTGGCTGGCTGTTTTTGCTTGTTTGTATGTTCGTTCATTCCCCATCCGACAGGAAGGGGTTGTTAGAATTATGTTGGAATCCTCGTTTGCGATGCTTGTGCACCACGCCCCCACCCAGTATCCCGCCAGAGCAGCTCGCCAGTGGATCCCGCCGAGCATCCCGCCAAAGCAGCTCGCCAGTGGATCCCGCCGAGCATTCCGCCAGAGCAGCTTGCCAGTGGATCCTGCTGAGTATCCCGCCAGAGCTGCTTGCCAGTGGGTCCCGCCCGGTATCCCGCCAGAGCTGCTCGCCAGTGCAGTGAGTGGATCCCGCCGAGTATCGCGCCAGAGCGGCTCGCCAGTGGATCCCGCCGAGTTTCTGCCAGTGGATCCCGCCCAGTATCCCGCCAGAGCTGGCTCGCCAGTGCAGTGGATCCCGCCGAGTATCGCGCCAGAGCGGCTCGCCAGTGGATCCCGCCGAGTATCCCGCCAGAGCAGCTGGCCAGTGGATCCCGCCCAGCCTCCAGAGCTGCTCGCCAGTGGGTCCCGCCGAGTATCCCGCCATCCCGCCCAATCTCCCGCCAGAGCTGCTCGCCACTGGATCCCGCCAGAGCGGCTCGCCAGTGGATCCCGCCGAGTATCCCACCAGAGCAGCATCCCGCTGAGTATCCCAGAGTAGCCCGCCAGTGGATCCCGCCGAGTATCGCACCAGAGCAGCCCGCCAGTGGATCCCGCCGAGCATCCGCTGAGTATCCCAGAGTAGCTGGCCAGTGGATCCCCACCAGAGCAGCCCGCCAGTGGATCCCGCCGAGTATCCCGCTGAGTATCCCTTACCGGTGGATCCTGCCCAGTTTTTCCGGCCAGTATCAAGCCGGAGCGGCTCGCCAGTATTCGCCAGTGGATCCCGCCAGTATCCCGCCAGAGCAGCTCGCCAGTCTCGTTTTGCTTAATGTCCCGCCCGGCGCACAGTTGGGTTTACATTTCATGTTGAATCCCCCGTCGGGTTTCTTTTTGGAATGGCTTTTGTTAACGGAGCCGATGTTTGAGTTCTCGAGATCGGCTCGCAGACAAGGGGAGTTTGACACACAGACAGTTGGATAAGGCCCTCAATGCAAAGCTTGTTGAGCAGTCATAGGCCCCAAGCCGTTCGAAAACCATGCTTGAATTCACACAACCGTGCTCACGGTCGTAAGCTCGTGAGTGTGGAGGGTGGGGGCTGCTCGAGGCGAAGTAATTTACTTATTTATTGATAAGTATTCCTGTCGATGTTTCCCTTTTTACGTTTGTCTTTAACAAATGATTTGTTCAAGTATTTACCTGTGTCTAGTTGTATTGTTTGTTTGTTTGTTTGTTTGTTTGTTTGTTTGTTTGTTTGTTTGTTTGTTTGTGTATGCGTATTGGTTTCCCTGGTTGGTAGGTTGTTGGTTGGTAGTTCAGACTTGAATGATTCCATTTTTTCTCCCCAGGAAAGCAGGTAGCTTCATGAAGGGCACTGACATTGCTGGCGAGTCGGACATCGACGTCATGGTCTTTGGAAGCGGCCCAATTTCAGATCGCCAATGGGACGCGATTGTTGCTGGCATCAAACAAGGAGGCTATACCATAGATTCGGTCAACCCTAGATGCATTCACGTGAAGGTGCACGGGGGAGTGGACTGTTTGGTCACCATTGAGTTTGATGTTGTTGCGCGGCAGCGGCAAGGCTATGCACCCAACAAGGAGCCGGAGAACCCGTTCCGAAACAATCGGATGGCCGCGCAAGCGGTGCGAAACATCAAGATGGACTTCCAAGAGTCTGAGGAGAAGGGCTTTAGTGGCAATACCATTGAGCAAGCCGTGCTGGGTGTGCAACCGAAATGTGCGCCAGGCCTTGGGATGCTGATTGATGCTGCCAAAGCTGAGTTGAAGCGTCAGAGTCTCGAAGCCCGAAAGCGACCACGCACTGCTGCACGGGAGAATGATGCGTCAAAGGGTGAGACGGATTGGAACACATGCATTGGGGAAGGAGGATTTCGGAAGGTGTTCAAGGGAGTTTACACTGTCGGACCTCGAGCTGGACAAGCAAATGTTTCCAAGGTCTTCAAGGACGGGACAGAAGCCTTCGAGGACTCCTTCTTTGCTCATGATGTCGCTTTGTGTGAGAAGGCCATCGAAATTGCCGACGCCTTTAACAAGGTGAAGAAGTTCAAGCCTATGGTGCAGGTGTGCAAGGCCAGCATTTGGCATCAGATGAAGAGCAAGCAGCGTCTTTTGTGCGAACCATTCCTCTCCAATTTTCAAAGTTTCAACTCCAACACCGGCTGGCAAGCAGAAGGTGAATGGCCCAAGGCCTTGCAAAGCTTGAGCCATTTGTCCTACCATCATAGCAATGGCGACTTGGTCCTTTGCGATTTGCAAGGTGCCATTGAGGATGATTGCGTGGTGTTGACAGATCCGGTGATCAATTCCAGGGACAAACGCCATGGCCCAACGGATTTGGGTCAACAGGGCATTGACAATTTCTTCCACCATCACACTTGCAGCAAATGGTGTGATGCGGGGTGGTCCAAGCCCCGAGCCACGATGAAACATTTTGTTCCTCAAGCTGGAACAAGAATGATCTGACCTTGCTGGAAATGGTTGATCCTTCCAGGATGAAACTAATATGGGTGACTTCAAATATGACAGCAGGCCATGCTGTGATTGGCCGTGCCGAAAAGTAGAAAGTTAGGCCAGCAACAGCTGGCCAAGGGCAGCGACCCGAGAGCTTGAAATCTGACCGTCCGGACGTTTGCAGCGATGAGTGTCATATTATAAGCAACTACTGTTTTCCGGTGGGAATATTGTCGGGCGTTCATGTCACCAAAGTGTTGCAAAACCCTTCAACTGGACAAGACAACTAGCTTCATATGCACAAGAGTTCTGTTGCAGGTGCCAACTGCTGGGAATTCAACAAGAGCAGGTCAATTGAGCTAACAGCCCATATGCATCACATGGGTGTACGTTGCAGTGAGTGAGCAGGCTCCTGAACACATACATTAACTTGAGAAGTGGTTAAGCGAATTGAACCTATGTAAGGACTGCCTAATTACTACCTAGCTTCAATGGCGTTTTACCTGCGTAGTTCGAATCCGATTGCGCCCTTCGGCTTCCACTTTCTTTTACAGTTCCCTAACGCCGCCCTCAACCCTTTATACAACTCCTTTAGCATATCAACTAGTTCCTTTTACGAGCATTGTGTTGGTATTTGTTTTCGGCAAAGCATACTTTAGGATCCATTGTTGGTTGTGTTTGAGATACCGCTGGCCTTGTTGTTTCGTCCTCCAAATCCTATCCTTCCGACCCGGCGTTAATACATTGATTTCCATATTGCGTGTCTATCTGCAGGTTGGTATAGAAAACTGCATATGTCGTTATACACACATATATATATATATGTACATCTATCGCATTTCAGTAATTTAGGTTGCTGCTTCAGGGCCATGTAGTTACATGGTCCAGACCCGGGCCAAGACCCTTATTTTTTCCAGGACGAATGTCCATAGTGCGGCGGTTTCGGCGGGATCAGGGTGGTCCCTGATTTCCATTGGTGAACCATGGGGGGTGTTAAAGCCCCTGTCTGGACTTTGATGCCGCATTATGCCGTCATTCAAAGAGAATACCCAACAGGGTCCCTGTTTGCAACAAATCAAAAATGAAAGTAGTTTGCCAGACAGATGTGGCAGCCTTCAGCTGAGGCACAGGCAAGAAGATCCAGGAGAAGATCATCCAGGACTGGGGCTGGATGAAGCCATCCAAGTCGCTTCGTGTAGGTGGCCCTTTGTAGTTGGGAAGGCAGTTGTTTAGTGGCCAACAACAAGTTCAGCATATGACAGCTTTTGGAGAACTTCCCTGCAACCGTCCAACATGTTTGGCAGACACTGGCTTCATTCACACTGTTATGGGTATGTTTCTTAGTTGTTTCAGTTGTGTTTTCAATTTTGCATAGGCGCTGCACACAACACCAGCGTGCTACAAAAAAAACAAATAGAAACAAGTGCATGGCTACTTTGAGGGTGTACAGTTGAGCCCACAGTTAATGACGAGCAAGCGGCGACACCCGAATGACACTCAAACCTAGCCGTAAGTGACCGCTTCGTGACTGAAGTGACCTTGATTTGCCTCTGCGCGACACTCAAATGACACGCATTGACACTCACATTTGAACAATAATGCGCAAGCCGCTGCCTGCACTTCAGTTGGCCATGCTTTTGTTTACGAGCTCGATTGACTTTAACTTTTTTGCACACTCCAGGACAGAAAACGGCAAGCCGAAAAGAAACTACTTACGTCCCCGACACTCCGTTTAGTGGCCTCGTCTCCTTTTTTGTCTAAGTGGCCGCCATTCGAGGTCACCAGAAGAAGGTGGTACTGCACATAGCAGTTGAGCAGCCAGTCTTCTTCTTTGGTCGGCGGTCTTTTGGGGCCGTTTTCACCCTGAACCTGTCGCACGAACGAACCTCATCTCAAACATTCCCGAGGAAGTGGAAGAATTCGAGCTGGACAAGGACGCCGAGGCAGACGTGAGGGGGGAATGCTGGGCGTGGGAGTGAGAAGGCCGAAGCTCCGGCCATGATCAATGTGTCAATAATACTACTGGATTGGCAAAATTCCGCTCCAGTTGACAAGAGATTATGACCGTCATTCTGCAGAACGGATTTACTGGGATTTTCATTTTTTTGGGAAGCGCGGTCAGGATTGCCATGTTTGTCCGAGCCTTTCGGCAACAGTAGTACTTTTTAATCTCCAGGAGCTCCTCCTACATTTGCTTCTTTGTTCATTGCGATTCAAAGCCAGGAAACGCAAAGGTTTGAGTCAAGAGCTCTACGGCAATGCTTCCCATATGCGCCATTAGTGGGCTCATTGAGGAGTCCTTGGGCGGATTTAAGGGCTCTAGAACGCCGCTTCCATTGACCACCGTTCTATCGGGATACGCAGCGCACGCGGGTTAGCCTTCTTCAGACAGACCCATCGCGGCTGGACTCCAGCTGCCGTCCAGTCAACATTACAGTCCTTGCTCAGAACATTCTCAGCCTCTCATCACAAACTGTGCCCAGGGCTGTATCCGCAAGCAGCCTTCCGATTTGCTTCTTTGATGGCCGCAAAGGCCCAACAATGTTTGGGGTGTTTTTTTCGGCGAAGCCTTTTCTCTGCTGCGGCGGAGTTTTCAGGCGACAAGAACGGCGAAGTTTTTGCCGGCGAAGAGTGCTGGCAAGACACAGGGCGAAGTTTCTCCCACCTAGGCGACCAGGCCAAGAAACGACCGTTATCTTCTGAAAGCATTTTGTAACCTGAGCACCTCAGATACAGAGCCCTGATCATGCCAGGTGGCCTGTCAAAATTGAGGGTTTTGCAAACAGCCAACAAGGGAAGTTTCCAAAATAAGACACCCAGGGTACTTCCTGGCTGCTTGTGTCAAGTCACCCGGGCTTGTGTGAAGTCGCCCGGATGAGGTGCCCGCACGCAGATCTGCGTTCAGACACCTGTCATGAAGTTTCCGTCAGTGTCCCCTTGCGTCTTGCCGAAACAGGACAGCCAGCTTTCACGCTTGGAACTGTGTTCAAACAGGCCCAGAAGCAACTTTTCAGTACAAGTGTAGTAACTAAAGGAAGTCCACTTTTTGCGGGGGGGTGCTTTGAATCGTTTTCAAAAAGGCATGAACATGGTGTCTCCATGCTGGTTCTTTGTTCCGTGATCTACCGAACAAGCTACCAATGTGGTGTCCGCTTTCGTTGGACGAAGACTCCTTGGTCTGGCTTGACTGAACATGGTGTCCCCAACGGGATTCTGCTTTTTCTTAGACTTTTCCGATCTGGGTGAGACTACGCTTACGCGGTGCCCCATGCGCGTGGGTGACTCAACGCGGGCGCCAAGCAGTACCTTCTGCGCCTTCAAGCTCCGGTCAGGTCTTCCAGTAGGAAAGGATACGCGGCGATTAGCGCATAAACCCTGGAGTAGAGTCAAGAATGCGCAGTTCAGTCCTTGGAGGCTCATTCCTTCCCTTCTGAATAGAGTTGGATCTGCTTCACGTGTCTGGGTTTTGGACATATAGCCGACTGAAGGGCAGTTGTGCAGGGAGGGTCCTAGTATTATCCCCCCTCCTCAAAAAATGCAATTGGGCGGGGGGGAGAGCCTTGAAATTGCATTTTCCAATTTCTTCTTTTTGGCGTGTCGTGGATGGATGGATCTATCCGGAGACCCTGCAACAGCACCCTGCGCAACTCTGAGACTCGGCCTGCTGCTGCGCACTGGACCCGTTTTTTGGAGACAACATCAGTCCACGCGTCTTCCAGTCCAATTCATAGGTGGCTAGACAACGAAGCCATTCGGGGAAGGTCCAGAAAGGGAAACAAGAATGCTCCATGCTCAGGACCATTGGCGCCGATCTTGGTTGACGCCGCCGCACGCCCCGGCGAGCTTGAAGCCATGCCGACCTTGTGAGCTTGTGAGCGAACACGCCAGCGAACGAATGAAAAAAAAACACGTGAGCAACAAGCCAGCACTGGGAAATAACGCAGTGCTCAATCAACGGGTCATAGCTACACCTCACTTGCCTCAAGCCTACCTTGGGGAGCACCTTAGGGAGCTCAAAGCCGGCAGGGGTCATACCGACCCCGCTGGCCTCAAGGCCAAACTGGACAAGCGCAACCCGCCAGCCTCAAAGCCATCAAGGGTCTTACCGACCCCGCTGGCCTCGAGGCCAAACTGGACAAGCGCAACCCAGTTACCGACCCCGCTGGCCTCAAGGCCAAACTGGACAAGGACAACCCAGCCAGCCTCAAAGCCAGCAGAGGTCTGACAGACGCTGGCCTCGAGGCCAAACTGGACAAGCGCAACCCAGCCAGCCTCAAAGCCTCAAGGCCAAACTGGACAAGCGCAACCCAGCCAGCCTCAAAGCCAGCAGGGGTCTTACCGACCCCACTGGCCTCGAGGCCAAACTGGACAAGCGCAACCCAGCCAGCCTCAAAGCCAGCAGGGGTCTTACTGACCCCGCTGGCCTCAAGGCCAAACTGGACAAGCGCAACCCGCCAGCCTCAATGCCAGCAAGGGCCTCGAGGCCAAACTGGACAAGCACAACCCAGTTACCGACCCCGCTGGCCTCGAGGCCAAACCATCCAGCCTCAAAGCCAGCAGAGGTCTGACAGACCCCGCTGGCCTCGAGGCCAAACTGGACAAGAGCAACCCAGCCACCGGCCAAACTGGACAAGTGCAACCCAGCCAGCCTCAAAGCCAGCAGGGGTCTTACCGACCCCACTGGCCTCGAGGCCAAACTGGACAAGCGCAACCCAGCCAGCCTCAAAGCCAGCAGGGGTCTTACTGACCCCGCTGGCCTCGAGGCCAAACTGGGACAGGCGCAACCCAGCCAGCCTCAAAGCCAGCAGAAGTCTTACCGACGCCAAACTGGACAGGCGCAACCCAGCCAGCCTCAAAGCCAGCAGGGTCTTACCGACCCCGCTGGCCTCGAGGCCAAACTGGACAAGCAAGCCTCAAAGCCAGCAGCAGGGGTCTTACCGACCCCGCTGGCCTCGAGGCCAAGCTGGACAAGCACAGCCCAGCTGGCCTTGAGTCTGAGTGAGTGAGTCTGA